TATGGTGAAGGGCGACAACATGTTAAGGGAAGGAGTGAATCGTAAGCAGGACGTAATGTGTGGTGACGACATAACATGATGAACGGAGAGAGACGACAACAATAAACATCACAAGGGAGAGAAGTATTGTTCAGGTTTACTGTGAGAGGAACTGCTGGACTTTTGTGACCACATGAACACAACTTCACATTTCCGGGAGTTTGATAACATGTTTACTGATATAACTGACCGCCACGACATGTTGTGCCCAAGTTTATCTCTGGTGACGTTAAAGAGTGTAAGATAATCTATAGATATAATGGATATGAAAACATTTCTGGTATTACGCCTGGGAGCTCAGTATACAGGGTGCCCCAGAGAAATGTCCCTCCTTCCCTCCAACTCACAGTGTCTCAAAGAGCAGGCAAGAGAGAGAGAGAGAGAGAGAGAGAGAGAGAGAGAGAGAGAGAGAGAGAGAGAGAGAGATTTCTGGGACCACCATTATATATAACTTTACTCCGTGGCCGAGGAATGACATGTTCACGGTAGAGTTTATTCTATGAGAAGTGTTGATAAGGACACGTATATTTTCTTCAATAATTGTGGCGTGAAATAAGATCTATTGTAACAGTCCCTTATATTGTTGATACAGTAACTCTAAATGGTGATTAGATTTGTATCCTGATGTGAGGGAGAACGCTGGGGCTGTTGTGGTGAGGTTGAGTACACCTTGGGCTGTCTACCATAATTATGTACGAACACTGTTGTTGTTGTTGTTGTTGTTGTTGTTGTTGTTGTTGTTGTTGTTGTTGTAGTAAAATAACGAGTTGAGGAGAACTTGTCTTGTTTACCGCAGTTATATAAGAACACACTCGCTCTTGTTGTTGTTGTGGTTGTTATGCAGTAGTTAGGAGAGAACAGATTGTGTTGTGGAGTGGAGAGCTAAGAGACACGTTATAGTATGGAAAGAAGTTGTGTTGTTTGCCACAGTTAACGAGGGGACACTGTGGTAATTGGGGTGAAGTAGACTGTTAAGAACGCTGGACAGGCTGATACAGGTGTATGGAACCTGACCAGAATCTTATAAATGTTTATTTTTTACTTCTATCGTAGTCAATACTCAATCTGTGAGCCTCAGACAAGCACACATTGACCCAAGGGTTTGTAGTGCATTAATTTCTGTTTTTTATTCTTTAGATTTTCAATAGTTCGTGATCTCGTGTTGTAAACCATTGATCTTAAGTGTTCCCAAAGAAAAGAAGTCACTGATTTCGGGTGTCCTCTTGTACCACGACCTGTCCATCAGTCAGAACTCCTCCTCCACCCCTTCCTCCTCCTCCTCCCCTTTCCTCATGAACTTTGTTCTTTCTCACACTAATCATCATATCATACCCCCATACCCCCTCTCTCTACTACTACTGCTTTGCTGTCACTCGGAATCGAGTTTGACGATAATCCAGCTATGAAACAATGATATGAGTTATTAAGGATGCCACCTAGATTGGTCAGTTTGAAGGTGACTGAAGAGGCCGATACGGGACCGGCAGCGTCTTTCCGGCGCTGGCGCTTGTCTGCCTCGGTTTGCAGGCTGGCGAGCTCGAAAGTATTGACACCTTCTCGTGTGGTGCTCCTCCAAGTGTTACGGTGTGGAGTAATCGTCTCCCAGGTGAGGGGGTCGATTTAGAACTTTTTCAGGTTTGTCTTAAGACTATCCTTATACCTTTTCAGTTGCCCGCCAGCGTTTCGTTTACTATTCGTTAGATGACTGTAAAGTAGCTGCTTTGGCAGTCTACTGTCGTCCAGGCTGGTAACCTAGCCAGACCAACGTAGTTGTTCATTCCACTGTCATCATGGCTCCAACCATCATCATCATCATCATCATCATCTCAGTGTAAATCGAATAAAAAGAAGACTGGTGACAGCAACCCCCCTCCCTCGTCGTATCCTTGATCCACCTCCACTGGCTCGAAATCCCCACCAACAGCCCACAATATTGCTCCCCGGCCATGATCAGTTATCTGTTCCTCCAGTTCAGTCTGATGTCGTTACAAGATCTCCGTTATAAATCATTCATTTTAATCTGTTGAATACCTCCTCAAGTTTACAAGACATAGGAAAAGTTAACTGCTAAATTCTAAGATCCTTTCACTCAGCACCCGCATCGCTCCTAAGATCATTCTTTAAATCTATACTAAATCTTCTCCATTTAAGTTTCCGTCTCCGTCTCTGTTTTTTTTTCTTTTCAATACTTTTAGGATAATATCAGATGCGTGTGGGAACGAACTGACTGTACTGTATGTTGATCTTTATATTTCAACAGCGTTTGTTTGGCTCCTTCGACGTTAACAATATTGATCTTTGTAACTCCTTGGTCCGTTTTCTCGTCCTGTGTCTGTCCTTGTCTGTCTGTGTCTGTCCGTGTCTGTTCGTTTTATACTTCAGTTATCTTCTTTTTCCCCTTCACTCTGAGGATCTTTAAAAACTTCCAGAAGATTACCGTCGACTCTATCTGCCTTCTCATCTCCTTTATTGCGTCCCAAGCCTCACTCTTAGGTAGATTTGGTCAGCCCAGGTGTTGTGTGTCGCATGGTAGGTGGATGTGCCTCTTCCACTTGCCTCTTCCACCTGTTTCATCCACTTGCCTCTTCCACCTGCCTCTCCCACCTTCCTCTTCCACTTGCCTCTTTCACCTGCCTCTTCCACCTGCCTCTTTCACTTGCCTCTTCCACCTGCCTCTTCCACCTGCCTCTTCCACCTGCCTCTTCCACCTGCCTCTTTATCCCCCCCCCCTATCACCCAACCGACCTACTACTCTTTCATCATTCCACTGTCCCACTACTGTTCCACCTTTCCCATCCCTCTATTTCCAATCTTCCATGACCATAAGTTTGTTGTTTCCTCTTCTGCTTCAGTCGGTTCCTGCGATTCTTTGTAGATGTTGTTCATCGCATCGTTCCTGTCTTATTATTATTATTATTACTATTATTATTATTACTATTATTATCATTATTATTATTATTATTATTATGATTATTATTATTATTATTATTCAGTGCAATATTAAAGAAACTAGTTTAAACAGACGACACTATAGCGATGTATTGTTTGTTTGTCAGTTATGTAAAAATATTGTCATACCTGTGATAGTTAACAATGTGTATCACAGTATATATGTAATATTCAGAAATTTCAGTGTAATTTCAAACGCCGCACCATTGGCGATACTGAGAGTTCAAGGTCGTCTGAGGGAAGAGAGCGCTCCCCGCACATTGCGAGAGGTTGTGGAACTAGGCCTATATGATATTAAATGTAATTTACCGAGTTAATAGGGACGCGAATCATGAAATTAAATATCAGTTATTAAATTGAAAATAATTATAGATCGTTTCCCAGTCTGAAAATGTTGCATACGTCCTAATTAAGCTGTTCATCGTCTGGTAAATAAGTCACTCCTGGAAAGCGTGAACGAGAGAGCAAGGTGGCCGGGGAGTTGTGAGAGAGGTCAAGGACCACCTCTGTGCTGTACCCAGGAGAGACGGATCGCGTGACCTAGTTCCTTCGTTTATTTAACATCAGTATTAACAAGTAAGTTTTATTCAATCTCAGACAAAGCTTGATAGGGCGGTAGGAACAAACGGTGATGTGAGACAATAGCTAACAGCCCGGGTTTTTCAGGGTTCTGTAGACCCCACGCGGTATGATAACGTCTACTGGCGGTATGAGACACGAGTGGTGAAGCGAGCTGTTTGACCGTCCACTGACCTGGGTTTGAGCCACCTGCTGAGTATGGTGAGAGTTGGAGTGAACCCAGCTGTCTAGGTGTCCAACTAACGACGTGACGATCGTTTGGGGTCATCAGCTCTCCTCTACCTCGGCTCACAATACCACATATCTCAAGCAGCTAACGGGAAGCTAAAGCTTCTCTCAACTGTACAAGGTCTGATTGGCTCACTCCCTTCCGCTTCATGGATGTACTGGGGGTAAAGTGAAGCCAGCTGAGTGATACAGGGTCGCACACTGGGGCCAAGAGTCAGTGGAGTGTAGAGGTACACTTTCCAAGGTGGAGAAAGGCTGATTTGGGCCTTAAACTACGGGTGCCTGTTGGTTGTGCCTTAAACGACTACGGAGTGCAGGTGGAATCTATGTGTTAGGTTAGGAAGCATGGTTCACGGGTATTGGTGGACTCAGTAACTTCTTAATAATAGTGACAATATTTTTGTGTGTAGTTAATACTATTTTATCGGTTATTAATGTATGCTGTGTGCATTTAATATTTCTTTATAATCTCAATCTCAGGTATAACCCTTGTTCCCCAGAGTAGTGTTTAAGTTAGGTTAGGAGGTGTGTATCTGTTGGGGTAATATAAATTTGTTGAGCGCCCTGAAGGCCTATTCAGGGTGGAGTTAATAAGCTCTGATTCTTATACCATTTTCTCAGTGCTGGATGATATTTTGTTGAGTGCCCTTAAGGCATATTCATTGTAGAGTTATCAATTTCTTATTTTTGTAATACCATTTTCTCAGTGATTGATATTTTGTTGAAAGTCCTTAAGGACTGGTTCATGTGTGCAAGCAACATTTCTTAATACTATAAACTTATTATCCTCTAATGAGGCATAGCCTGAGGTTTTAATAATTTCAACATCATGTATAACTTTTATTCCCCAGAGTAGTATTTTCTGTTCAGGTTAAGAAGTGCGCATATTGGTGTACCATTATTTGACTGTGTTTGTAGTGTTGGAGGGAATATAAGTGCAAATTTTACAGTGTGTCTCATTCATCCCAGTCACAGACGCTATCCTTCCACGGGTCATGGACAATTCATTTTGTTTAGTAGATTTAAGTGTTCTTGTGCTGGTTCGGGATTTTTCTCAAAGGGGCGCTTCCACTGCAATTACCATCAAATAATCTTTAATAAACCCCAAGTCAAGTGAGAAATTAAAATTCCAGTAAATTCCGACCGGTTACATATATAAACATAGTTGTGATAGTTGTTAACAAGAGTTGTGTTGTGATCCACAGATCAGGTGGACCTGTGGACGGTGTCAGGTACCGGGTGTACGTGTCCTCACCTCGCACCAGGTCACACCCCCGACTGTGCCTGCTGCGTCAGCCGGGTCGCCTGCCCCTGTGGTGAGGCCAATCCACACCGCTGTGCCCAGTGTGGCCTTCACCAACACTGCAACAATAGTAAGTGTTCTGTCTCCACCAACACTGTAGTAATAGTTAGCTACTCCAACATCCTCCACCACCACCGTTAACATTGTCTCCATCACCACCACCACCGAAGTAATGTTAGGTGAGCTACTCCAACATTCTCCACCACTACCGTCAACATTGTCTCCATCACCACCAACACTGTATGCGCCAACACAATCTTCACCCCGTGTGTTCCGATTTGGTCTTCGCTGTTGAATCTCACTTAAGACTTTATGATAAGGTTCTCTAGTGCAAAAGTTCTCTACAGTTCCTCAGCTTCGTCTTTCTCTTGATGTATTAAACTGACTTGAAAAATTTATGTGATATCTAAAGGCTTCCTGCCCCTGCCCCCCCCGTGTACCGCCAGAAACACGGGTGAAGGTCAACAGGAGTTTTGTATCTCTTCTCCTTTGAATTATAAACTTCTGTTCATTAAGTGTTGCATGACCCGTTTTTATCGTTTGTTATGTTTGTCTGTCTCATTTAGGGTCTTCTTATAGACTGATAATAAGATTGTTGGGAAATAGAACACTTAGTTGTATTGTGAAAGTTAGGTTAGGTTAGGTTAGGTTAATTCAAAGATAAATATGCTGGGGGTTAATCTTAAGGTGATCCAAATTAAGTAGAAAGAGGCAGTAGGTCACGCTGCAGCTCTTGTTATGGTTTATGACGGAGGTGTTGAGGAGCACTTGTGACCAACATTTATCACGCTGCTCCCTGTCACCACTGTTGTGTGTTGATGACAGAGGCAAACGAGAGAAAAGTGCAGCGGATATTATTGTTTCCCGACAACTAAAGACAGATAGACTACAGCGAATAGGAGAAATAAGTCGAAATAGTGGAGGCTGACTGGCACACAAGGTTAGCACAATACAGTAGATGTATTCCTTGCATAAACAAACTGAATAATATTTGTCTTCTGAATGTATGAAAAACTGAAAGTGAAACCCCATTGGCATGACGTTAGGGAGAATGTTGATACTGAGCCTTCGGTACACAAGGAGACAATCTAACCTAACCTAACCTAACCTAACTTAACCTAACCTAACCTAACCTAACTTAACCTAACCTAACCTAACCTAACCTAACCTAACCTAACCTAACCTAACCTAACCTAACCTAACCTAACCTAACCTAACCTAACCTAACCTAACCTAACCATAAAAAGTGAGTCAGTCCCTTTAGGTCTGATGGGGTTTGGGTCCTGAGTTTGTGTTCGACTCTTGATGGAGGGGGAATTATTTCTGTTGTGTATACCAGTTCTTCACGCCTTCTTCACACCTGTTCTTCACACCCGTCCCTACCGCCCGTCCCTTCAAACACCTGTTCTTTCCACCCGTCCCTACCGCCCGTCCCACACACCCGTTCTTCACACCTGTCCTCCCCGCCCGTCTCATTCACGTCGTGTCCTTCGTGTGGACGGGACAACTTTTGAAAGAGTGGACAGATAATCTTGAAACTTGGATGTGACGACGATTCTCACTACAAGATTTCTGGCAGATTTGACACAAAGTTGGTGAGAGTTTGTGTGTGTGTGTGTGTGACTTAATGTCTATATCTAACAACATTATTATTATTATTATTATTATTATTATTATTATTATTGTTATTATTATTATTATTATTATTATTATTATTATTATTATTATTATTATTATTATATCTACTCCTATCATTATTTTATATCACTTTATAAAATAATTTTCATAATAATCAAAAAGAAAAAGAAAAGAAAAACAAAAACTTTCTTGAATACGAGTTTAATAAAGGTTGGATGGGAAGCAGTGACTTTCCCATTGACGTGTGACGGTATTGTCTGACCTGTTCAATATGTAGCACAGACCAGCGACCAGGATAACAATACTATATGACTTTATCTAGTTCGCTATAAAGAGTAATATGGCTCATAGAAAATAGAAGTATTATCACTACCCAGAGACAGACAGACAGACAGACAAAGCAACAAAAGCAATGAAGGGAAATAATCGACTACCGTACACAGAGAGAGAGAGAGAGAGTATCAACAAAGAAAGAGGAAGAAAGGAGAGTGATGAGTGACTAACAAAGGAAGAGAAAGAGAAACATGAGGAAGTATGATAATTAATAATAAAATGGAAGTTGATAAAGGGAAGAGAAAGAGTAACGTAAGAAAGTATAATGAAATTTAAGTGAAAGTTGAAGAAAACAAAGATGTATTTCCTGGTTGTTAAAAAGGCTTCTTACTACTCTTGTTATGAGACCTAACTTATTACTTACACCGAGGTCTTTTGTGCTCAGGGTATGTAGAACGAGGCACATGGAGTGAGGTACACAGAGCCGGTACATGGAGTGAGGTACACAGAGCCGGTACATGGAGTGAGGTACACAGAGCCGGTACATGGAGTCAGGTACACAGAGCCGGTACATGGAGTCAGGTACACAGAGCCGGTACATGGAGTCAGGTACACAGAGCCGGTACATGGAGTGAGGTACACAGAGCCGGTACATGGAGTGAGGTACACAGAGCCGGTACATGGAGTGAGGTACACAGAGCCGGTACATGGAGTGAGGCACACAGAGCCGGTACAGAGAGTGATGTACTGCATACGTCGGACGAGATACGTAAAGGAAGGATCTGTACATAAGGGATGTGCGTTGAGGGAAGTTTGTAAGGAAGGCACGTTAAGAGAGGTAGGTGCGTTGAGGAAGGTGCGTGTGGTAGGATCGTTGAGGAACATCTATCTTTGAAGAACTCTAAATGGTTATAGTTCAGAATATTTTTATAGTGTTATTAGGTCAATCTAGACTTACAATAAAAAAAAAACACGAGTTCTTAAATGATGTGGTGAAATTTAGTCGTATAAATTGGTAACAGTGAGTGAGTGAATGGTAAATCACTGTATAATTGATGATGGTGTCCTTGTTTTGGTGACTGACTATGAATGGTGAATAATGGGGATAGTGAGAGGGGTAGTGAGAGGGGTAGCTGTCGGGGTTGAGCCGGACCACTTTACTTACCGAGGTAAACACGTTCTCTCCCTCTCCTCCTCCTCCTCCTCTTTCTCCTCTTCCTCCTCCTCCTCCTCTTTCTCCTCTTCCTCCTCCTCCTCTTCCTCCTCTTTCTCTTCCTCCTCCTCCTCCTCCTCCTCCTCCTCCTCCTCCTCCTCCTCCTCCCTCTCCTCCTCCTCTCCTCTCTTCCTCCTCTTCCTCCTCCTCCCTCTCCTCCTCCTCCTCTTCCTCCCTCTCCTCCTCCTCCTCCTCCTCCTCTTCCCTCCTCCTCCTCCTCCTCCTCCTCCTCCTCCTCCCTCCTCCTCCTCCTCCTCCTCCTCCTCCTCCCTCCCTCTCCCTCTCCTCCTCCTCCTCCTCCCTCCTCCTCCTCCTCCTCCTCCTCTCCATTCTTTACGTCTTCTTCCTTTCATCCTCCGTTCCCATCTCTCTCCCCAACCTGACTTTTTTTCCTTTTCTCTCTATTCGCTTTCCTCTTACCTCCTCTCTACTCTTCCACTTTCTCCTCTTCTTCTTCCTCTTTCTCTCTAATATTTCATCTTCCTCTCTGCTATTTCTTTTCTTCCTCTCTTCTTCCTCGTGTTCTCTCATCTCCTCCTCCTCCTCCTCCTCCTCTCCCTCCTCCTCCTCCTCCTCTCCTCCTCCTCCTCCTCCTCCTCCTCCTCCTCCTCCTCCTCCTCCCCTCCTCCTCCTCCTCCTCCTCCTCCTCCTCCTCCTCCTCCTCCTCCTCCTTCCCTCACCCCCTTCCCTCTTCCTCCACCATCCTTCCTACTTCCCTCCTCCTCTTGCCCTCCTCCTCTTAGTACATACCTCTCCTTCCCCTCCGTCCCCTTCTTTTCCTCCTAGACTCCTCTTAGTGCCTCTTCTCCTCTCCCCATCTTCCGTCCCTTCCTGCTCTTACTCTCCTCTTGGTACCTCTCCTTCTCCCTCTGTCTGTTCCTCTTCCTCTTACCCTCCTCTTAGCACCTCCCCCCTCCGTCCCCACCTCTTCCTCTTACCCTCCTCCTAGCACCTCCCCTCCTCCCTTCCCTCCTCTGCTTCCTCCCTCCTCGTCACCCTCTTACCCTCCTCCTACACCTCCCTCCTCCGTCACCCTCTTACCCTCCTCCTAGCACCTCCCCTCCCTCCGTCCCCTCCTCTTCCCTCTTACCCTCCTCCTAGCACCTCCCTCCCCTCCGTCCGTCCCACCCTCCTCCTAACACCTCCCCTCCCTCCGTCCCCTCCTCTTCCTCTTACCCTCCTCCCTAGCACCTCCCCTCCCTCCGTCACCCTCTTACCCTCCTAGCACCTCCCCTCCCTCCGTCACCCTCTTACCCTCTTCCTAGCACCTCCCTCCTCCCCTCCTCTTCCTCTTACCCTCCTCCTAGCCTCCCCTTACCCTCCTCCTAGCACCTCCCCTCCCTTTCACCCTACGACAGTTCACTCCGCTCCGTCTACCGCCTCAGGACACGTACACTATATTGCCACTCCACTACTAAAACTCGTCCCACCCTCTTCCCCTCTTACTTTCCCTGCCTGAACTGCCACTTCCCTTGCTAAGACTGCTACTTTTCTTGCCTAGAGTGCTACTTCCCTTGCTAAGACTGTTAACTTCCTTGCCTGAACTGCCACTTCCCTTGCTAAGACTGCTACTTTCCTTACTAAGACTGCTACTTTCCTTGCCTGAACTACTTCTTCCCCTCCCTGGAATGCTACTTCCCCTACCAGTCCTTACGTTCCCTACTCGTCTGTCATTTCCCTTACCAGTCCCCACTTCACTTAGCAGTCCCCACTTTCTTTACCAGCCTGCCACTTTCCCTCCCAGTTTGCCACTTCCTCTACCAGTCATCCACTTCCTCTACCAGTCTGCCACGTCCCCTTATCAGTCCCCACTTCCTCTATCCGTCTGCCACTTCCTCTACCAGTCTGCCACTTCCTCTACCCATCTGCCACTTCCCCTACCTGTCTGCCACTCCTCAGGTTCTGCCACAAGAGAGGAGTCAGCAGACCTTGGTCCTGGAGGCAGCCGTAACCCTCCACTGCCAGGCCATGAAGAATTTATAAAAGGAAAGAGAGAGAGAGAGAGCACAATCCCCCTTGTGGACTGTATGATTGTCTTGTAATATTAATGTGTGTGTGTGTGTGTGTGTGTGTGTGTGTGTGTTTTTCAACCATTACTACATGGGTGAGGTGAGATCATAGTCACCACCCTGGCCCGTGTGATGACTGTACAGGGCTGATGGAGAAGTTGTTCCTTGTAAAATCCACATTGTTATAAATACAAGAGGTAAATAGCTACGTCGTTAATTAGTAAAGGTTAACAGGTACTTTTCACTCTACCT